TTTTTATTATTATTATTAACTGTAAAGATTCCTTGCTATTAGACTAAACAGGTACACAGTGCAACTCATTGTTTATGTACTAAGAGTGATATAAATCCCTCTTGCAGGGACCATGATAAATTGTCACTTTAAAATACAGGAAAAGGTAAACGTTGCAGTATGTGAATGTAAAGTGTGTAGGAAGAACATATTAATTACGGAGGTGGAAAAAAAGAGTAGTTAGAGTAGTTAGATAGGCAGGATGGTGCAAAATATGAAGTATTCTCTGTCTTTAAAAATGTTGCATTTCATTTTAATGTTACAAATTCTGAATAACTTTTCTCTTATGTTTTTAACAGACCCTAAAGGCAGATCCAGAAGAACTATTTACAAAACTGGAGAAAATTGGTAAGGGCTCTTTTGGTGAAGTTTTTAAAGGAATCGACAATCGGACTCAGAAAGTGGTTGCTATAAAAATTATTGATCTGGAAGAAGCAGAAGATGAAATAGAAGACATTCAACAGGAAATCACAGTGCTGAGTCAGTGTGACAGTCCACATGTAACAAAATATTATGGATCCTATTTAAAGGTAAGATGCTTATAGCTGATGGTGGTTTGATTTTTATAAGTAATTTTTTTCCAAGTCATCCGCTTACTATATCTGTTTTCATTGGCAAATTTATGGTTCAGAATTTATTTGAAGAAAAAAGAAGTAATGGACAGAAGTTAATGGAAGAAAATGGAGTGTGTCTTTTGCTCTTTCTGTACAAAAAGAAAGTAATTTGGATAACGCCAGTTTGCTAAGCTCTCAGTAATAATTTAGATTCTCCTGATAATAAAAGGAAGCATCTCATTAATTGCTAATTACTTTCAGAAAACATAATTTTCAGAAAACGTCTGAACTGTCAGACAACTAATATCAGCTCTTTTGCTAAGTTTGAAAAATTTTGTCAGCATTTGAATTAGTAGTAATTTTTAAGCCCTTTTTTAGGGAGACTGGACCTAGTCTTGCTCTAAGCAGTTTAAAAGTTAAAACTAAAAAGTTAATTTATCTGTAAAGGCTAGAAAACATGTTAGCCATAAGGTAAGCTAGTGGAAGGGGTTTCCAGTAACTGCCTTTTGGGTCTATTCAACAAGTCCCCTCTCCTCTGCCAGTATTAACTTATTTCAGGCTTCTGTTATAATTGTGCCAAATAAAGGTGTGGGTGTGGTTTTGAATTGGCTGAATATAGAGACTACCTTCTATAAGGCAGTGAAACCATTTGGAAGCTTTTGGTACTGCATTATTTGGTCAGACTCGATTCCCATCTGGATAGTTTTCTTTTATGACAGTCAGATGGCAAGTCAGAGATAAGAGATTGTTCTCTTGAAAGGTTTTGAAGTTATGAGTAGGCAGAATATACTTCAAAATTGATTTTTCAACTGCTTTTCCCTGTCTAGAAAATTCTACTTTGCTAGAACCTTCATGTTTTTGCTGAAAGGACTGTTTCTGCCCTTTTTTATCTCTGGATTTCTGAGATTTCCATTTGATTCCCCTAAAAAGGGAAATTTTCCCTGACTCCAGGAGATGCATAACTGAAGGGACGCTTTGTCCTTTCCTTTCTATGCTTTGCACCAATCTATATGGACAGCTGTGGATTGTTTCAGACCAAATATCCTGGTACCAGTACTGTACAGAAGTCCTAAGTGTAGCATATATCTATAAAGCATCAGGAGCTGCTTAACGTAGTAATTCAGTAGACTTTTTATCTCTGTATTTCTTCTTGAAACTTCTTGATCTAGGTTGGTATGTATGTGAAGCATGGCATATAGAGAAAGCAAAAGCAGAATTTCTATCCTTGGGGCTGCCTTCTCTCTTAAAGAATAAGAGAAATAGAATACAGAAAAAATAGTTAGGAGTTTGATGGAAATGCTACCTAATTGTTCTTAAAGTACATAATAGTAAAGAGGCTTTAAAAAAAAATCTGTTATCAAAGTTTTCTGCAGGCAGCAGTGACAACTGTTTGCCGAGTGAGAGAGAGGAGATCCTAGGGCTGAGTGGCTGCAGTGGGTCTAATGTGAACGCTGGATGTGTCAGAGGTGATATTGGTGCCTGTTGCTTTGAGGCAGGCTTTCAGGATCCTCCTGTCAAGTGCAGTAGTGTGAATTTTATTGTGAATTTTGCAGCTTGATGTAGTCATTTTCTAACAGACTGCACAATGGCTAGCTAAGGCTTAGTTACTGATAGCTACAGGAGGAGCATTTAACTTTTTCTAAATGTACAGCTAGTCATTTTTTTCATTACTTCGCTGCTCTATAAGTATGTATCTTCTTTTTCAAGGCACTTTTGATTGAGTGTTAGAGAACTTTTGAAGAACAGTCTTAATTTGTACAGTTAAAAATTAATGTGCTGGAATTATGAGATATTGAAATGACAAAACTTTGTAGATGAAACAGTACGTGTTGTTGTAGCCTTTTAAAGTAAGGTTTAGTTCTATTATTGGATACTAATGCTGTGTAATAACTTAGAGATATATTTAAGAAGGAACATATTAACATTTAAAGGAATAGGCTAAGAAAGAATCTAAGCTTACTTGCTGTAGTACTGTGCTGGTTTGCAAGCCAGGACAGGTATTTGTAGTTCTAAGAGTCTCATCGTCATCTGACTCCCTCCGTCACCAGGAATGTTCTGTATGCTAATCTTCCACATTATGAGCAATCAGAAGACATTATTTCTTACATGTTTGTATGGTTTAGCACTAGTCACAACAAGAAAACAATTATTTTTTTCTCACCAAATGAACTACTTGAAAGTGAGTAAGTAGGCAAACTGTAAGATCTTCGAGTGTTTTGCCAGCCACCACAACAGTTGTAGTGACAGTCTTTATTGGGAAGATTGGGAGTTTTAAGCATCTGCCACCCTTCAGAAACAGGAATCTCGTTCTCCAAAACCCGTGCAACATGGTGCAATGCTGACCATGTACCTGCTGGATCTTGGCTGGAAAGAGGTACCATTTGTAGAGAATTCTTAAATTGATTTTCTGTAACTCATGCATGGCAGACAAATAATTTCCTTTACTCTTTCCTTTACTCTTTCCTTTTCTCCTGAGTATTCCTATATCATATCAATCAGGAGGGAGTAGGTTTGTGAGTTCTTCCGAATTTTATTTTCTTATAACAAGTTCCAAGGTGCTCAAAAAGAATTTCTACCCCATCTGGGACTTTGATTAATATTCCTGTCCTTTTCCAGGGAAAAAAAAAAAAATGTTGGTGTGGTAACAGAAGACCTGTCCTGTAGTCTTTTAAAATGTTTGACAGATTTTAAGATTCATTCTGTATTCTCAAAAGTTGTTGATAGGCAGTGTCTCACCTCATACATTTTTAAAGAATCTTGAGGTAGACTGAATATCTAAACACCTAGAATTTTTTTTTTTAATGTGAATCATCTGTCTCTGAGAAATCCTTCCTGTTCTGCTCTGGGTCTATCCCGTGCCAGACTTGCCCCAGTTGAGCTGCATGATCCTACTTGCCTAGTGTGTTGAGGAATTTGCTGTGTGAAGTTTTATAAGGGGTGTGTGATACTGCTGGCCTTGCCTGAGGCCTCCCCTTTTCTTCGGATGTGGTTTGTGAGAAGAGTTTGTCAAGGTTGTGGTGTCCACTCTTGAGTATACGTGGAAGGTTAATTTACATTGAGTTTATGGTAATTATTTTTGTCCTAGAAATTTGCATTTTAACTATTTTTACCTACTTTCTATCAGAGTACTATATTCAATTTTGCCATGCTGAGTTTTCTTTCTCTTTTTTTTAATATTTCAAATATTCCAACTTTATCTTTTTGGAAATGTGCTTGCCTGTCTCAATTATTTTTAAATCCAGGCACTAAGCAATATGTGTGAAGTATTACAAAACTCACTTTCCATGCAAAAGTAGTATGAGAAGTATGAGAAGTAGTGTGAGCCTGCATAGAGAAATCCATTCCCTCTAGACTGTCGTTTGTTATTTGAGGCTTATGTGCCAGCGCCATGGTCGGAGTTTGGTTGAGTGGAGCAATAAGCAGCAGTGGGCACTAATTCAGATTGTTACTTTGGTTATGAATTAATTTGAGGAAGCCTTTATACAAAACAGAAATTCAAGTAGTCAACTACTTTCTAGAGCCACCTTTTAAAATTGCAGTGGTTTTTATGTTCCCCTTTTACTAGGACAAAGAGTTTCTGTGTCTGGTAGGACATCAGTAGAGTGTTACTCTTGAAGCACGTATCAGTGGCAATGTTTACGTGGACGCGTATAGCTCAAGGGAATACCCTTCCTCATCTGCCATGGCCTGTCAAAAACCTGTATCCGTGTTTCCCAAAGAAGCTGGAGTGTGTGAGGAGCACCCCACTGCTCCTCAATGTGATGGAATGCTCCACAGAGAGAAGAATAACATCTCTTATAAACTCATTTATACTCTTATAAATATCTTACAAAACTCACTTACTTAGACTCTCTGGTTCTGTTGCCTTACTCAGATTTTAAGTGACGATATTCATTGCTTCCTTTGTGATAGCATAGAAATTCCTTGTGCTTCTTTTTGGTTTGTATTTTTATTAAATTTTCTAAAGTTGTCTACTCTCTCTTCTGAACTTTGCCCACTATACCTCTTTAAAAGTATTGCTATGCAATCTTTTGTTACCAAAAAAAAAAAAAAAAATCTATGGGAGTCTGTCCGCTCATTTTTATGCATATTATTCGGCTTTTCCCCTCTTGAGATTAGTTTAATTTTTTCTAAAGTTGCTTCTTTTCTTCTTTATTGGTCAAGTGTTTTTTTTTTTTTTTTTGGAATTTGTTGTAATTCCCAAATGGTAATGCCTCTCTGATACTTTTCCTGTATTTTTAATAAGAAATTTCATCACTGCTTTGTCATAACCCTATAATATTCTGGTATTTCTTTTGGTCTTGAGTTGTTTTTAAAAACATATAGAAGACAATTTATTTCCTGTTTTCTTTTATCTTTAAATAGATGAAGCATAAGATTTAAATTAACCTCAGGCTTTTATATCTGTGTGTGTGTGTGTATGTCTCTGTAATATGTAAGATGAGATTTTTATATATATATATAAACCTAAGGATAATGTGTGTATGTATAAATAAAAAAGGATACATGTGTTTAATTCACTGTCTTAGATGTCTAAATATACAGATAGATGTAAAGACAGGGCGAATGATCACAATATATTCTCAGTGTTCAGTGTAACCAGATACCAGTGATACAAAACCACTATTGAAACTAGGTCTGTAACATGCATTTTTAAAAGAAGTATAATCCCATGGTTCTTCATTTCTCAGCTGTATTTTTCTTTGTGCTTTTCAGCAAAAAGCACTTTGTGCTTTTCAGATATCATCTCTTGATCTGTTTGAACATCTTGACCCAATGAGGACGTCATTTCACACCCCCTTTCTCCTAGGCAATTTCCCATTATGTAAAAGTATTTTAAGGTAAAAATAATTTTTGAAAAGAGCTGACCCTAGGTTCCTGAAGGACAGATGCTGCTCACTTGCCTTTTGGTATTTATGTGTGTATCAGTTATTTCTGTTTTCAGGACATAATACACCCATTACTTTAAGCCATGC